TTTCCTTTTGATTCACTGTTTTGTCCACTTAGTGTAGTTTCTCATTTCTCTTACTACTTATTTCTGGTAGGAAAAGTCTTTCGTAACTGTTCTAGACTGTTCTCACAACAGAGGAATCTAACCAATACCTAGTCTTTGAGACAGAAATCTATAAATGCTCTGAAGACCTATATGTCTGGCTTCCTCCTCCTCTTTCTCTGCAAGGGAGAGAACAGGAGGACTGCTTTTTCTTTCTTTGTGGCTTTGACAACGGATTATAGAAAAATCATCAGTTTTTCGAAATGTTTCACAAACCTCATTAAGAAGCAGGTGAAAGAGCAGCTTGCATGGGATGACGAAAATTTATATTAGCAAATGAATATTAAGCAATTATTTAGTATCATTTTCATACTTGCTCATAATTTCAAACTATTAGCAAATATTAATCAAAGGCAGGGAGGAATTTTGTGCAAAATGTAGCCCCCATATTTTAAGAAAGAATATATGAGGCTTTGTCTAGTAGTAGATCCATCAGTAACATCCCAGTGACTCTCCTGTTCCAGTCCATCTACACAGAAAGAGTTGGAGAAGTGACACACTGCAAAATATTGTAAATCTCTCTCCTCTCCTCTCCTCTCCTCTCCTCTCCTCTCCTCTCCTCTCCTCTCCTCCCCTCCGCTTCCCATACCATACCTTACTCTACTCTACTCTACCCTACCCTACCCTACTCTACCCTACCCTGCCCCACCCTACCCTACCATGTCTATGCTGGCTCTGCATTTACAGCCTTCTACATTGAAAGTAGAGCAAAAGGGGCATTTCATTTCCTGTATGGGCAAATCTGCCCCGGGGTGGATTAATATGAAGACAGAAAAATATGGAAATCATGAAAATGATGTCTAACAAACCGTGCTCACAGAGTTATCACTAGAATTTCCTATGGTAAGCAAAGGCAGAAGAAAATCATGGTACTCGCAGGCACCACAATGTGGTAACTATTTACAGGTGCTGACTTCTTGATAGTTATGGCTTTTACTATGTACTGTGTGATTTTTTTTCCCTCAACACTAATAAAGTACCAGCTTTAAAACACATAGCCAACACAGAATGGAATGTTTGTCCCTCTTAAATGTTGAGCAGATTTTTTTTAAAAGTTTGGTAGGAATAATAAGTATCTGGATTATTTGAAGATAATTTTCAGAAAACTGCTCAAAAGTAGGGAATGCTATCATCAGTGTTTGATGGGAAATAGTAATAAATACAGCTTTGGTGAAGTTGCTATGTGGCTTCACAATGCAGCCTAAGGATATCACTCTCTAAGGTAAAGAGTATATTATTCCTGTATGCATTATGTGTGAAGGAAAAAAAAAAAAAGTAATTTTTGCCATTCATCATCATTACTGCTGAATAGGTTAAAGACATGTTTCAGAAGGTCTTGCCTATTCAACGCAGTGCTTAGGAACGGTTTTATCTCCTTCATTGGAGACAGATGGCTTCAATTGTCTTTTTAATGTCTTGATGATTAGGAAGTAAAGAATAGTATCAAACATGGTTGAATTTCCAAGATTAACACAGGTAGATGGAATTCAATCACCCTGCATACACCAGGAAATCAGGCTGACTACCGTTTAACGTGCAAAAAATACAACGAGTATAAAGCTGAAAATTGTGCAGGACTATCTTGCTCTGCTGCTTTTCAATTCTCTCTCCAATAATTTCAAATGTTAATTTCTATCTGAAGGCTAAAACCACGGCAGCAAAAGTTTCTCTGTAAGGATAAGTGTGCAACTTCCACTCTGCTGCAGTTCTGACAACTTTCTGCTACTTAAAAACAAGAAACATGCCAAGGAAGTTAAGAGTACTATTATTCAAAGTAATACTTTTGCTTCAGATGCCTGAAAGGGAACTTTCACTTGGAAAGAAAATGTATTTTTGTTTCTGAAAACCCTTATTAAAATGTTCACACAACATATACAGTAGTGTGTGGAAGAAAGACATGTATTTTGCAGAAAAGAGAAAGACAATGAAAGGGGTTATTACAGTGGCAGGCTTATGCTGCTCTAGTGAAGACTGTGTAAACACTTCCATTGTAAATATTTATTTCCAGAAGTTTGTAACTCATATGTAGAAACTCTTCCTGCCTGAAACTTGACTTGATGTCTCCATAAGCAGCAACATACAGTGTGAAGAAAGAAGCACTTTATCTATCTGCTTTACAATTAGATATACACAGAAGAGGAGAAAGGCTACATGGGGTTTATTAAATCTAGGGCTGCTCTGTTTTCAAGAGGAACTTTTTGCAGCCATTAAGATACGCTTTGGAGTACTTGCATAAAACATCTTAGATCTGGTTCCTCTGACTGCTGCAGCAAGCCGAGGGAATCAGTGAACCTGACCCATGAGGAGTGTTCACAGTCAGAGATGCACAAATGAACGTACTTCATATGCAAAGACATGCTGTTTGCATGGGAGTATCTGCTGTTTAACACCTGATTGATTTGCTTGAAAACCAGCCCCGGTGGAAAAGGCAGTGAGCCATGCTCTAGTGCTATATTAACATGCATTTGTCAGTCATAATCTGCACTTGCTGGTAGAGTGGTGGAAGAAGCATTACAAAAGCTTTAATAGAGACTTGCTAGAAGAGGCTACGTCATAGCTCAGTTACTTACACGAAATTCAAGAGAGAGAACAAGTAAAAACAAAAAAGATTCATTTTTTGCTGCTTAGTAACCAGGGTGAGACATGCAAGATAACAACTGTCAGCTGATACTAACAAAATCCAGCAGTGTGGGTGAGACTAAGCACCACACAGATATTTAACACAATGCTCTCAGCAAAGGAGCTGTGTAAAACTCATTGATTACCTAACTTCTGGAAACAAGCTAGCTGCCAGCAAATTGTACAGCTCATACAAGAGTTCAATAGTCTCATTTGGAAGAACTTGAAAGAATTATATCCATGGGAACAGGGATATATGAAACAAAGTAGCGGGCTTTAAACTGCACCAGCTTGTTGCTTCTCCAGGACCCAACGTGCTGACTTGTGCTAAGGGATTCCTTTTTTATCAGGGTGCCTCAGGTGCATATCCCATCTGTTGATACCAATTACAGCAGATCGCCAAGTCTTTATGAGCTCTAAGTTCAGTCCACCAGCCACACTGTGCTTATCACACAAAGGAAAAATGATGTTAACACTTTCTCATCCAAATTGCACACTTTCAATGTATCATTCTGGAATGGAATAATATGATCATTCTGGAATAATGAGGATGATTATCCTGGAATGGAAACAAAACCTTCTTCTTATTATTATTAGTTGGAAAAATTTCCATTTGCTAAGTGTTCTAAAAAATAAATCTCTCGAAGTCTTCAGTCTTCCAAGGTGGAAGACACCAATCTACATGTCAAAATCTAGTTAGTATGCAACTTGGTAATACTTTAATAAACAGGCAATCATGCAACTCCCAGATCTGTTAAAAGCAGATTGGTAGTCTATTACAAACTGATTAAATTTGCCACTTTTTCACTTCAAACAATTATATTTGCACATTATTACTTGATGTGTTGAATATAGCTTAAGAAGAACACAGGACAATTTAATATCAATCATACAAACTCCTCAGAGATTTAAAACTGACTCATGCAGTGATATTTCCCTTCAAAGAACAACAGGCATGTGCAGCTATAAAATCTGGGGTGGGGAGGAACAGAAAAAGTTATTTAAAGACTAATGTGATGTAAACATTCAGGGAATTAAACAAGCAGCTTAAACTGCTGTGTTGCATTTATGTGTTTATACAACTCCATTTGAGACGTGCCTTTCTAGGAGGGCTAACAGTGTGCAAAGGCTTTGCCAGGAGGCCGGCGTACTGGAGAACAACACACACCAACCCTTGCACAGCAGCATCTATCAGTACATTTCAGACAACTTTAAAGCACAGATGAGGAATTTTAACCCTGTTCCAGAGGTGCAACAGCCCAGAAAAAGAAAGGGGAAGAAACTCATTCATGTTCTTCATTTAGTCATGGGCAGAGCCACAGAGGAAACCTAAACCTCTTCCTCCCAAATGGAGCTACAAAACCATTTCTCACCTAGCCTTAGAAATAAGCTGCTAAAGATATTATCCATCAACAGACTCACAGCTGGATGAATTTTGGATTTGCGGCAAGCTCTCTGCCCGTTTTTAATGGATTTCATTTTTTTTCAGAGAGTCCATTTCAGACTCACTGCACTGGGGGAGCCCTGCGTGTCTCAGCCACACGTACACAGAAGAAATGGGTGAGATTTGGCCCAAGCAATGGCAGCTGGACCAGTCACAAACCCTTTACATATTTGTTACTATTCCTTTTATTCTTCTCCTTGACTAGATATTTCTTCACATGGTATAAAAGAAAAAGTGAAGCAAAGAAATTGTTTTGCCTGATGGTGATACTGGTACTTTGACTTTCAGTTCACTATAGCATCCAATGCTTGGCTTTAAAAATCCAAGTAATAAAATCCTCATGCTCGGTATTTGCTATGCACGTGGTGATGGGTGATAAAGCTGTATCTAAAGTTGCTTCAGATGGCAATCTCTCGTGTATCCCACAGAGCTGCCAGAAAGATCTTCTGGGTAATATCTTGGAGAAAATAACTGTATTACAAATTGTAACACAGCTAAATAAATAAATTGTAAATAAAATGCCAAATGTACTTGTGTGTCTTTCCATTTTGGGATTCAGCTAAGAAGTGAAACCCACTAGCACCACCAGCTAAAGGTTAAAGGAACAATCCATCTCTCCTCAGAAGAGGAGGTTGTAAAAGCCCCAAATGAATCAAGCAAATGCACGTGGAGTAACTTCTGTTAAACCAAGAGTGTATTTTGCTTTTCCACTCAAAAAGCTATCTAACATTACAGCTGACAAACCATACCTGAAAATTAGAATATGAACTGTAGCAAAATGCTTATTAAAGAGTATAAACTGAAATCTAAGTAACCACTCAGGTACACATAGCCAAAAAAAAAGAGGTAACAAACTTACCTTGCGTAGCAATATAGTGATTCGGTCTATGATAACCCTAAAATAAATGGGAAAATATTATAAATAATGTGTACCTTGGTCATGTTACTATGTGTGAAATTTCATTTAGAGTAGACTCCAGTAAAAATCACAACAATAAAGGCATCCTATTAGATGCAAAAGTTGTGCTTTGTAGTGGGGGAAGGGTGAAGGAAGAAGGGAATGCGAAGCAAATACATTTTCTGCAAGATGCTTAAGCTACAGCCTTGCACATTAGGGGACAGAGGCAATACGTTCTTTAAGTCCCTTGTTGGCTCTGCTGAAAATGAAGAGCATGAAATTCTCTCAAGTGCTTGCAGTTAATGGCACTGGGTGCCCATGGAGGCTGAGATTTACCTCGGAGCTATCGCTGCGGCGTGCGAAGCCAATCCCCTTTTTAACAGCTAAGCAATGCTAGATTTGCGTTTGGCTGGGGGAAGAGTGGGGGCAAGTCCACTCTGCCCTCTGGGATTTATGAATTATTTCTGAACAGTAAAAGGGATGGTAACTCTATGAGTAAATAGTTTGCTAAGAATACTCTTGTTCACCTATAAATAGGAAGAGCATAAGACATTCTATGTTTCTCTAAAGAGAAGAACAACTTAATCACAGGCTAGCTGTGCAATAAAGACTAATACTCCATGGATTCTTTGCAATATTGAATAGGAAGCCAAGAGGGAACAATACCATTTATACAGTATTTGACTTTCTGATGTGATGGGAGTGTTACCAAAGGTTTAGACCACCAGATGCACCAGGATGCTGACAAATCCAGCTACCAATACTATTTTCTCAGTAATGGTTAGGTTGCAGTGCCAGTCATCAAAAGCAAGTGGTTAAAGGTGCAGATCACCCTGTCAATTTCTTTATAAGGGAGCCCCCCTACAGGGGGAACCCTCTATATCTCCTTATAAGAGACTCCCTTTAAGAGGCAATGCAGGGTAAGAAAGACTGGAAATAATTGAAGACACCTTGAATCATGCAGAAAATGTAACATGAATTACAGAATTGATTCCATTATGTGCCACCGAAGCAAAATTTGAAAGTCTATGAACTGAGAATTGTTTAGATAGCTATATAGCTGCATTTTTCCTCCTGCAAGTTATCAAATATCCCTAGCTGCTGGGATTAAATGATTCAGCAACACAGCACAGTGAGGCCCAAGGGAAAAAATTATAACATAACTCTTGCCCTTTCCCTCTTCTATCCAAGCAAATTTCATCATGTTTGTGATGGTGCCATTCCCATATTAACATGTTTATTCTGACAACAAGGAAACTGTACTAATCACCCCATGCAAGAGAAACATCACAGCTGCTTCTGTAGTGGAAAAACAAGCATTTCCAAAGGAAAACCAACTAGCCAGATTATAAACAAAAAATGCTGCTTTTTATGGATGTGTTGTCCTTTGAAGATATCTGCAGCTCTCCATGCTTTGCACTGAAGCCATCTCCTGAGGCTTAAGAATGAGGGTGAAGTTTTTTCCTCACCCCCTGTTTCTTTTAGAGCCAAATTCTCTCTATCCTTCTGTTTTTCCATAAGCAAAAAATGGTTGCTATGAAGTACCTTATAAGCATTTTAAATGAGACCATATGCTCCAAATTTTCCTTCCTCATTTTTTGTAACATTTTACAGTCAGATCCAAATCAGAGCTCAGTGATGGCGCCTAAAATGAAAATCTTCAGTCCGAATGCTTCTGTATCTTAGAGAAATCTAAAAGTGAATTCAAACCTAACTCTTCAACAGGAACTCTCTACTTTTTTATGATAGAAATTGCTCACCTCAGAGTGTCGTGAGATTCCTAAATAAAAATATTTCCACCTGTGCCTTTTCCTCTTGGTAAACATGAGACTTTTTCAGACAGCAAGGGACTGAAAAGAAATCTAGGCTTAACCTAATGGCTGTTGAACACATTAATGAACATCAATAGAAGAAAGTATTTTCAGACTATTATTGTACCTGAAATAAACCTACCTTTTTTGTACAGCTCTACTTCCTCAAAATTCTGAGAAAATAATCTATTATCTTTCTTTTCTCACACCGTTTATTAAAGTTGAACCAAAAACTGTGGCACATTATTTTGAAGATGTCACTTCAAGACAAGAAATATTTAGCAGACCTGCTTCTTATGAAGCAACAGTTGTACTAACATCTAGTACGCCATGTAAATAAAAAAATTATTAACTTTGTTTTTCCTATTCTGGCTTTAGATAGTATTGACTTTCTAACGATTTTCAATTCTACTTTTGAGTTCATTCTTTCAACCAAACACATTCTGTCTCTTAAAGAATTTATTCTAATGTAAAACATTAAGTTAACATGATGCAGAATGAACAAAGAAGCCATCTTCAATAATTAAACAGCCTACATATTTAATGAAATGTCTTGCTTGCATTAGAAGTACTGGTTAACAGCTGAAGAATATACTTTGAAGGCGACTTAAAAGCGCAGAGATGACAAGAGATTGCAAATCTCTGCATTAGGCATTACAGAGTTTTGTCACATTAATATGCAAACAGCTTCCTTTAGAATGTGGAATGATGCCAAGTTGTTGACAGAAAGTGAAAATAACGTTTTGCTGGTCCATATAAGCACCAGCAGGCAAAGTAGCCATACGGTGATCCTGGCAAGGCTTCAGTCGAGCGGCGGTTTGAGGAAATGACTCCTCTCATTGGCTTACTGGCAAAAACTTTGAGGCTTTTCTTTGCTGCCAGTGTACACCTAGTCTCCTATGACAGCACTTTCCAACGGTGTTTAGCTGTGATATCTGTTACAAATTATGAGTAACATGCGAGAATAATAAAAGCTGCCTCTTTGATTGAACACCATGTTAACTATGTTGCCTACATCAGCATACGCACATCAATATAATTTCCATTGATGTAATCCGAGTTTGTCTCTCCTTCAATGGGCTGCAGTCTCACTCGAGAATGATCGTCTGAAATGGCAACATTGGAAAGAAGAAAAAAGCAATTAAAGACACATGCAGTAACAAATCCTTCATCAAAATATTATGTTAGAGCCAAACTAAAATTTCAGGACTTTAAAGTTCAACTTTATATTGTTGTCCATGAAAACACGTCATTTCAGTCATTCATAAGTCTTTCCAGATTCCCTCTGGTTTTCAGTTTGAATGCCTTAAGTATATCTAATGCACAATTATGTCCTTTTTTTCTCAATAATACACCTTTTGTCAAAAAAATAAATAACAATAAGTTGTCAAAGATGAGGTCATTTGCAAACGTTTCTGCCTGTCCTTAAAATAAACTCGAGTGGTTCTACACAATATACTCCCACCGCACAGTTTCTGAAGGAAAGTTGTTATATTTTCAGTAAAGGAGAAAGCAAAATAAAACAAGGACAAAAAATAAGCAGTCAAATAGCGGGCTTGCCCCTGCATTTTGCAGCATTGTGGCACTCTATATGTAGCCAGGAATCCTACATATCAGCAAGCTCTTCCAACTCTAATTTCCAAATTCCAGTTCAAAACACCCGGGTATGAGTTAGGTTGCTATCAGCTGTCTTGCTTTAGGATGCACAGCAGTGATTAAGGGTGGTAGCAGCCAGATCCCTCTCATAAAAGCTCTGTGGATGCTGGTAGGGCTTCTTCTCTTGCGAGAATTTGGAAAATGCTTCTCTGGGTTCAGAAGTGACCAACCATGATGGCTCTTCCAGAATGCTGCAGTAGTTGTTGAAGAAATAATGCTTTAAGGAAATATAAGAGTATGATCTCAAGGGCGGAGGCATGGTCGATAGTCACTTTACTGATGTTTTATTTACAAGCTACTCTTGTTAATTAGATACCTGTGTATTATTGTTATTAACTGCTGCCTGCTACCTGAGTTAATCTTTCTTGCCGCTGACTAAGAGGCCTTAGTGCCTGACATTTTGTTGTTAGTGAAAATACACATTAGAGCATCTGAAACTTGCAACCCACAATCTTAATGTCTAATTTATTTTCAACTTAACAGCCCCTAAAATTTAACAGTGAGGAAAGAACACAAGGTGGCTTAAAGGTACGATCTCATCATAATTAGAATAATAGTTGTCCACCTTGTGAGGGGGGGAAGTAGAGGGCAGCATGTCCAACATCACTGTCATTTATCAAGTGGTTCTTAAAATAACATTGTTTTAGAATAAGTCAAGAGCTCTTTGAATGGATGAGTAGGAAAAGAAGAGGCAAACTGTTCATTTCATCCTCTTTTATGCTCCAAATTGAAGGACTATAAATCTCAGAACCTCATTACCTTCCCTTGGGAGTGAGAAAGGGCACAGTAGTAAACAAAAAAGCAAATCCGAATTAATTAGAATTCCAGCCGTGGGTTCCCCACAGCTAATATCTTGCTAGTTTCCTGTGACTATTGCACTTAACAGCCTTTGAAGAGGAGTTTTTTCCAAAGATGCTGATATATTGAAATCAGTTATGTTGATCAAGTCAGCCTTTTCATCCTATTTATTCACTTTTCCAAGACTAACTGTTTTATAGAGATGTGATCTTCTGTTACATAAACCACGATCATCTGTCCATATCAAGCTATGTTTACCCAAGTGCTCTGCTATTCTCTGCTTATTTAAGCTTTTTGTTAGCTTATTCAGAACAGAGGTTAGGGTTGCAGGCCCTTAAATCTTAGAAACCATCTTACATAAGAAACATACAGCATTAGAAACTTTCTAATCTTCAATTGCTGCTGTTAGGCTTTTGGGATCTGATCCAACTTCTGTTGAAGTCTAAGGACTCCAGAAGTCAAGCTGGCTTGGACTCATGGTGTATCTTCATCTGCGTTTCCATGACTTCATGCATCATTTCCTTAAAAGCATTCTCAACAGAACAAGTCATGCTAGTAAAGATCTTCACTGTTATCTTTCTTGAGTTATGCAGGGCAGGATTCGGTTGTCTAAACACAAGCAAGCACTGAATGCCACTTTACACATGCCAGGTTATACTGTTTAGTCTTCAGCTGCCACTGCAGAAGGACAGTCTTATACGGGTATCGTGTTATATTTGTTGGTCCTGCACAGGCATTCTGGAAAATATGAATCCTGACTTTGATGGCTTGAATGCCAATGAGTTCCACATTTGGACCACCAAAGCTTAAATTTCCTTAACATGGTCCTAGTGTCAAATTTAAAAATGTAATGCTAAAAATATACTTCCTGTTATTTACTTTAGACTGAATCATGCAAATGAATAACACTACCTCTTCTTTATTTCTGCTGCTATTTTAGTATTTCCTTCGCTCCATTCTTTCCTTGTATATTTTTTTTTCCTTCAGATTTGGCAAAACTAAATACATAGGTCCAGGCTTCTATCTCCATATGACCTCTCTGTCCTTTTCTCTTCTCACGTGAATCTTTTCTAATGCTGCATTTGCACCCAAGTTTCATGGAATTCTGGAGGCAATGGACTGTTCAATGCTATTAAATTGCAGTGGAGGTGGAGAAACTCCCTTCGTTGATTACTTTAAAAATGTGTTAACTCCTTGCAGCATGGCAGCATTCCTTAATTTGAAGAAATTCTTTAGTCAGTCAGAAAAATGTTCCCGTGCTTACATCAGTAGACCAATTTTACCCTAAGAGATACACATATAAACAAATGCATCCACATGCTTATTTTTAAATAGACTGTAGGTTAATTGTGCAAGTTTTTTAGGCTTTTTGTTTTGTTTTGTTTTACTTTATACCTTACCTTTCTCTTAACAACTTTTCTTGTAGCTTTTAAATACACTCTTGTCCAATTCATTGCTTTGATATCCTCCTATTACAATATCAGATTTAATTTTGCACTATTCATTTATGCCTTTCAGCTGTGTTAGAATCTATTTGCCTTTGTGGTACTGATAAGAGATAGAGAATGTAAACATTTCATTCTCATTTCCCTCATGTTACATACAACATGCATATTATCAGTCTGCAGGCTGGGATCACTAACATGTGCTTGGAGCAGCCACCTGAGCAGCAGTGAGCCTTTCTTGGGGGCTGTCTTGCTGAATTCTTTGCAAATTGGCATTTTACAGAAGTCTCAGCTAAAAGCTTGAGCTGCCTGCAAAAGCTGTGGTCTATATGCTATTTAGTCACTGCTGAGTTAGGCAACAATACATAGATAAGCCTTCCCCCCCCAGTCTCTCCTGAGGAAAAGAACAATAGATTTTACCAAACCCCACGCATAGCCCTACACAATTAGGACAGACACATGATTTTCTTAGGTGAAAAAAGTTCATTCAGCAGATGCAGATTGTTCCTAGTTCTTAATGAGAAAACAGAAAAAAAGTGCATTTGTGTTCAATACAGAAGGAATACATTTTCTGGGGGTGACTGGACTGTGGCCATGATTGAGCTAATTGATAGAGGCTCACAAGTTGTAGTTGCCTTCATACAGCGGGGCAGGGCACGCTTGTAGCCAATTAAATGCACATCAGTTGGGTAATGTAAAGCATGCTGCTATTCTGACAAGCTCCTGCAACGCTAGCAGCCTGGTGCTATTGTTTTGGTTCCCTCAGAGAGCAATAATGACTACAAGCAATAATGTAACAGTAGTGTCTGGGGGAAAATTTAAATAAAGAGGATAAACGGTCAGAAAAAAATCCATTAAACTCCCATGGAAAAAATACACATCTCACTATAATCGGGTACCCATAATTGGAGGTATCTAAACCATCTGCAGTATTTTTGATTCTTTAAATAGAGCATAAGAGTGGATTTTATTCAAATAATTTTCAGTGAAAGCCACTGCTTTAACAACTACTTCATGAAAATTTTCAAAAGTGGACCTCCAAAACTGTAGTCACCAACTCTTGGGCCAAGCAAACATTCATCAGTAGAAAAACGTAATTATACACTTAACTTCTCCATTTGCATACATCTATTTAACAGATGACAAACTGTGGGTTGTTTTAGCCTCTCTTTCAAGATATTGCCCTTTACTATAATGAGTTTTAATTTTAACTTGCATTCTCTGTGTTTTCACAGCTCCATAATAGGGAGTTATTGATAACAACTCCATCCAACTCTTTCCTTTTGCTAAATACTGATGACATTAGAAGTAAATTGGGATCCAAATGATCACAGTAACATTTGCCCTCTCAGTGAGCCTGCAGTATTACTTGTAATTGCCATTGATTTGTGCATCTAATATCTTTTACTTGCTTTCCCTTTGCTACTCGTCACTTCATTACCTCAGTCATACAGCACTATTAGTCTTCTGTTTACTTCAACCAAAGGGAGTCCAAGTGACAGGCTGCGTATAACATGACATTAAAGAGGGGACTGACAAAGCTAAACCCTGCCAGAAACAGCATATCTATTGTCACAGCCTTAGACAGGAAACAAAATTTCACAAAGGAAAAATGAACATAAAAGTATTTGGTATTCTTATGTATGCCTTCAGTATTTTTACTTACATAATAATGATAGCAATACAATGTATTGAGCTATATGCTCACAAAACAAGAAGTTTGTGAGGCATTAAAGATTGCTTGGTGAGAAACAACCGTAACCATGTCTAGTTAATCTACCTTCTTTTACATGTGCTCTAGCCCATCATGATGTCCACATTTCCCTAGCACACTTTATTTTCAGTATACAATATGCCATCCACACACACAGCAACGCAGTCACGTCCAATCCATTCAAAATGACATGGCAGATATCATCTGCCAGGCCTCCTGTGCCTGGCCCACAAGCCATCTTGTGTGCACAAGTATTTCTTGCTGATTCTCCTTCTCTTTCTATATCAAATAAGAGATCTGTTTTCTCTTCCTACTTGCTAGTTCTCCTTCTTTTTCTGCATCAAATAAAAGATCTGTTTATTCTTCCTAGACTGTCTCAGCCCACCAAGGTCACAGTGATAAAAGGGGCTATTCACAGCACCTACTGCAGTAGTGGTTGCTGAGTTGTTAGGTACATTACATGATCTCTCCCCAAAGGCTATCCTTTCCCTTCATGTTTATGACAACGATCACTCACATGCTGTGACCATTGCTTATAGACCTGCTCATAACTGCTTCATGGTTGTCTGCCTAGCTCGTACATGCACTTACCCTTCATGTCTAAATCACTTAGATTGTGAAGGAGCAATCAAGGAAGGGATCATCTCCTACGTATAGACTGGGAACGAACAGTTCCATGTGCAACAACACAAGCATGTAAACAGTAATGTAATTTTACTGAACTTGGTATATTTGTTGCCTCATTATCCATGCACAGCATCTACTGCTCCAGTGCTTACCAGCCTCATTGCGCCGGTTTTAGAGGTCATTCACAAAAACACACTATCATCCCCTGAAGCTCTTCATTAGTATATCTAGCCTTGGCACTATTAAGTAAAGCACAGTAATTCATTTTTTTTTAACTGAAGTTAAATGGGCAAATCATGTCTGTCATTCTGCTTTCAAGCAATACCTAGGCAATACTGTCCAAGCCTATGGTGTCCAGAGCCCAAAGTGAAGATACTGATGAGATGATCGGTACTCTCCTACCAAGCTACCAGGAGCAGTCTGGGTGCTGTTAGAGTTGGGTGATGGTCAAAAACAGCATTCCCCATTAGGCAAATTTGGATGAGAGGAAGGAAGCTATATAGCATACAGGTGGAGAAAAAGCATTCAATCTGACAGATATCTCAAAAAAAAAATCCTGATTTTTATTTTCTTAATTAGAGAAGAGGAATATGAGACAGAGCATGAGGCTGGTGGTCATTCTTATCAGATGCTGAAAGTTAACACAGTGCACAATTATGCTGTCGACACTTACATGCAATGATATTCCCATATCTATTTTTCATTCTATTCTCATCTTTCTTAGCTGAATCCCACGGTGCAGATTGTCCTTCAAAGAAACTCTAAAAAAGGAAGGAAAGTGACATTAAGAAATGCATACAGCAATAGTTACCTTAAAGAAAAACGAAGGAGAAGGGCAAACAGTACTTAGGGGTACTGTTGTTAAAGTGTCACCTACCTCATCTTTTTATCGAACATAAATACAAGTTTCCTATTTAAATATTATTCATGCATAGCTCTAAGTTTTATCGAAAACTTGACACAAGATTATTTGTGTAACAGTCAGAAGAATTTTTGCATGTGAAGTGCTAGCCAACCTTTCCAAAGCCGCACACCTGCAACACGAAGAGTCCTTCATTTGTGCTATCAAAATTCTCTTGATATTTACACTCACATAAAGCTGAGCTTCACCATCATTGCTGGAGTTGCTCCAGTATTTGAGAGCAGAATTTCACACTGCACTACCAGCATATTTTTGGCATATTCACAACCTTCAGTTACCTCTTGACAGATGACCATACACAAACCTGCATGATCTTAACATACATCGGCATTTGAAAACATTTGGATTCAACTGTCATGTATGTGTCCCTTAGTGATGATTATGTTGTTAGTGAACAAAAATGTGATTTTATGAAAAATAAAATGTATCTAATATTCACTCAGCCTCTGTACTGTATTTAATAAGCTTAATGCAAATAAGAAATCTGAAGGTACTAAAAATATCCTTTTACATGAAAAAATACACAAAAAATTGCTCAATTTCTTGACAAATTCAGTATATTTGTAAGTCATGTAATATAAATGCACTTCATCACTCCATATTGAAATAATAACCTTGGCTGGTCACCAAACCAGCTAGTAGAACTCTATCAATCAGGAGGATGGCTGATCTTAATTCTTGTTTTCATCTTTTTATGTCAATGATCAGCACACATTGAATCTTTTGATTCAAGAGGGGTGCGTAGGCGCAATACTATTTTGATAACAGAATCCCCGATTAAGTTCCCAAGCTAAACAGAGGAAACTAGGCTTGTTTCTTGCAAGACCTCTGCACATTCTGAGTAGTTTAAAGTAGAAAATGCCCACAAAATGGGCTACCATTACTGTCCTTTGTCCTCATAATCGAAGTACATTGCTTTTCAAATCCCAACAATCTGCATTAGTAAACAGCATAAATCTCAAAGCAATCCCTTGATCTCTTGCTGAAGTCAATGGAACATGGGGGCTTTCAATGTCTAAAATTCTAACAAGTTCCCTGGAGTGGTGGTTTTCAACTTAAGATCTGAAGAGCCCTGGGACTCCCTGGATTCTGAGAAATCTGTTAAGTGATGACATAAGAAGAACAGGCAGCTTGTCAGAAGACTTCAGTTTGTTTCTCCTTCTCTGTATCTCCTTTTTACATGTTTGCAAATTGTAATGAATAAGATCCACTAACAGAAATAAGCCTCTCCTTAATCACAGGGCACCACCATTGGCTCTGAGAAATGTACATTACTATGAGGACAGAGAAAGTGCAGCCCTGAAAATCTTAAGATGCATTACAGCTGTATACAGCTTGCCAAAAGGGCACCAATCATTATCTGCGATGGGATTAAAAATGTGCCAATAGTCTCTGAAGCAAGTGTTCCAGCTCCAGAGCACTCTTGACCCATGCTGGATGGAAAGTAATTTTGTGGTAAACCAGATTGCCCAGAGTAAGGAGCTGTTTTCCCTTGGTAGAGACATTGATCTGTGTCTGAGTTTCTTGCAAAGTTCACACTTATTCTTAGACAACATTGGAAGATGAATAATTAATCACTGTTTAAAGGTAAAATAGAAGTGGAAATGTTCAGCAATGAAGTTTCAAAAGTAGAACAAAGAAACTAACTCTTGATAATGTCCCAAACCAGTCAGGTTATGTTCTGCAGGATTTTGCCTTTCCGAAAGCTGAGCCACAAAAGATTTCTCTCTTGCTCACAGTACTCCGCTAGAGACCGGTTCACAGATTTGGTTCTCCGAGTTGATGGACAGGATACTACCCAGCAAGTGGTTTGGGATTTGATTCACTAAGCA